CTTCTACATTCTTGGTTCTCACACAAGCACAGATCCTCATGCAAGCATGGATTACTTCACATGATTTCTGGATCCCATTTACAGATGTCATTGGAACAAAGCAGTGAGAATGGATCTCCCTCAGAGCTGAATGTCATCTCAAAGGGGCTGTGCTTCTTGAGTTTGCTTAGTTGTAGTAAGAATAGCACTAGAAATTAAAAGATAATTCTTAGCTCGAAGCTAAACATGTTTGAACGTTCAAGGACAAAAGTGGTGTCTTTTCTGCCATGCTGTATTCCACACAGTGAACCTGACATTGGTAAGTACTTTGTCAAGTAAGTCAGAGATAATCCGTGTCTACATGGGCAACCGCCACTGGAAGGAAGATGAATTGATCTACAAAGGAAGAACGATCACTATTCTGCAGATTTCCCCCATGATTCTTCATCTCATGCTGTACAAAAATAACATTTTAATGCCATGTTTTGGTAAAATGGTATCTGAGGGCTGGCAGGTCACTAAAGTGTCTGGGCACAACTCATCAGTAGGGAAGAGCTGCTGGGACTTTCTACATGGGACTAGTGAGTGATAGTTTTGGAAGATGAGTTGTATAAGCAACCTTAGCATTGTTATGATCCTCTTTTGTGTCATCATGAGGACTCAAGAAAGTGTAAGAGAACATTACTGAGAGGAGGAATGAGGTCATAATCATAAGGTTTATTTTCAGTTTAATTATGCTTTTAAAGCATAAGGTAGACTAGTAAAGCTTTATGAATGCAGCTAAGTCTGTTTCAGTAATGACTCCTCTAACACTGAGAATTTAAAAATTCATACTGCTGTGCTGTATCACTGTGATCATTAAAAAACTTCCTCACAGTTTGTTCCATTACACTCCTTCATACAAACAAGCTGTGAGATCACAGGCATTACTTCCTGTGAATATGTATCAATTAACATCCAATTAAGACAACTGCTGGGTGTTCCTTTTCAATCAGGAGGAAAAACAGCAAAAAAAAAAAAAAAAAAAATCAAAGGTCATTTGCATTCACTGACTTCCTGCAGTATGTATTACCACACTGCTCTGCTGGCCCAACTGCTTTAGGTGAAATTGAAAGTTGTTGCCCTGCAGAAGAAAACTTTTTTCCTTCTTTTTTTGCATTTTCCACTCTGCCCCCCCCCAATAGCTCCTTTTCTATAGTCTGAGATTGTTATTAATTATTGTTGAGATGTCCTTTGGTCCAAACCAGCACTACAGTCATTCTCACTTGAAATTATCTTTTCCTGCACCTTCACATCTCAGTATTTGGTTAAAAAGTCTGTGGGTTTGATTTCTTTGCTGCTCTTACTGTTCTTTTTTTCTACATGCAGGTGCAGTCAAGGAAATTGTGCAAACACCCAAGATGAATGCCTAGCACACTTTCATTGTTAAAAGGTCAAACAATGACACTCAAAGAATTTCCAGCCTTACACAACAATCAAAATCTTAAGAACAGTAATTGTTTACCTTTGATTTCCAGATACAAAGTCTGTTGGATGTTCTTCTGCATCCTGGATCATTTGGCTGCCCTATACACTTCAGAAGGCATTAGAGAAAGTGAGTTCACATTTCAAAAATCTTTTTCTCTGACTTTTCTCAAGCAAATTTCTCCATGGTCATAACTCATACCATACTTCATATCTTAAATAACATCAGCCATGTAGGATTCATGACTTAAGTGCCACAGTAAACAGAATAAATACTATTAGGTGTGCTGCAGGATCACTACTAGGATTACAACGTAAGGAATGTGTGGTATTGCATGATAGGACAGGCCAGCTTCATTGGAGCATTTATTCAGACAAAAGTGCTTTGAAGCAAAAGTGCCACAGACTAGTATTAAAGTGACCACTACCCACACAAGAGCTGAGGCACATTTTTCCCAAGTGTACTAAGCAGCTTTCACTAATCCTTGACCGTGCTAAACATCCCATCTCCAAAAACCAACTGTGTATAAATATGCCATTTACTGTTCAGTAAAGGTAAAGGGTAAATATATTCATTCACCTGTGCACTGGCACAACATTAAATCTTCCCTTTCATCTTGCATCTGTTTCAATTGTCATGGAAAACTTGTGGTCAGGAATATTTCCACCCAGGCACCTGAGATCACATGAAGCTAGTTTTGAATGCAACTGTGAATTTGTGGGACTAGAAGAATTGCAGACTTGGAAATGCCTTAACAGGTAGTCATTTTCTTACTCATCAGCATTCCAGACTCTGCTTGGGTATTGAAGTGGAGCTGGGTTCTTGCTATCTTCTGCATCAACAATAAAAAAGATTCTACAAGCCAAATTAGGTATTTAAGAACAATTGCACAAAATCACTATCCTCTGGGGGTGTGCTGCAGGTACAACTGATAATGTACAGAAAGGAATATAATGTAGTTTGCCCCTCTAGCTGTATTGGCTTCTGGAGGTGAGAAGGGACGAAAGACTAAAAGCTGTGGTTTTAATCACTCAAAGAGAAGATATGACATCAAAACATATTAGGATCAAATCTATTCACATAATTAAAAATCTACATTTAACATAATTTTGCAGATTGCATTACCATTAAAAATTCAGTGGAAGGCAAATCTGCATTTATCATAATGTGGTGCAGGAAACAGAAATGTCTTCAGTTAAAAGCAGGCTAGACTAAACACCATCTGTTGTAGGAAACAACTGCACTCACCCAGAGTGACAGGCTGCATCTCTTAACAAGTCTTTCCCTGGAGCTTCTAATTTAGTAGGCCAATTTTGAAAATTAAAATCAAAATCAGAAAAACAGAGGCAATGCTGAAATCTAGAAGAGTAAGACATTTACTTACCCAAGACACCCAAGTTCCTGTTGTAGCTGTCCTAGGGATAATTCATCTTGCATCCCAAATTTGACTTTCATAATTTAACTATGAGAGTGATAATACTTACCCACTTAATACCTAGCAGTGCTGCAGAGATTAATAAGACAATGCTTGCATGTACTTGAGTGCTAGGCATTGTAAAATTTAACAAACTAACATCCCTAAAATCATAAGATAGTGTGATAGTATTTTTCATCCTACAGTATACTCGAAAGTATTTTTTGTCCTATTTCTTTGAAAATAAAGAAATAAAGCAACCACAAGCTGCAAGCACCTGCAACTCATATATCAAGAAGCAAACCAATCTTTGGCAGGTTATCATCAAAAGAAGTTTAACTTGACCTCATGGAGACAATCCCACTGAAATTTAGCAAGGAACAATGAATGCAGGCAGTCAAACATGACTAACACCACATTTATGGCAAAAACAAGTCATGCTTTAGCAAAATGGCTTATACGACCTTCAAAGTACACAACATTTATTGTTTTGTTTATGATTTATTACTATTTTTGGCCAAGTTTATCAACTGAAACCTCACTAAAAGTGAATTAACAAAGTGAATAATAAAAATAATTGGGGAGCAGAAAAGGCTAAAAGGGAAGAAGGTGAAATTTAATGTTATCACAACTAAGCAGCATAAAATTTAGGAATCGTTCTGATGCAAAAATATGGAATATTTTAAAACACTGCATTATTGTGAAATGTAAACATCTGATTCCTCTACATGAAAAGAAGCCACTTTTTTCTAACTTCTTTGAGTTTTATGCAGTTACAGTCTCAGCCAGATAATGCAAGATCCTGATTTGTCTTCACTATATTCTGCTAATACAGTATCATGTGTTCTCTAGACTTGCTTAGATTCAACCTAATTATTAAGTTTTTATATAGATGTCTGTCTTATTGCAGCTTGCTTTAAATTCAACTGTTTTTATCATGTGAATGCTCTTCAAAGACCTCAAGTCTAGGAACCTTGTAAACCCTTGTGTAATGTGTACCCTGCTGAGGCTGGCAGTGGTAATTTGTCAGTTTAATTTGCAGCAGGCTGTAACTAAATCTTGCCAGATGTAAATCATCTTTTCCTACTCCTGTTCACCGTTTCACTTGCAAATGAATCTCATTTCTTAGCTTAACAGTCACATAAAGAAAAGTAGAAGGTTCCAGGAAAATTCAGAAAACCCTGGAGTCACCTACGGCAAGGCACATTATGCAGTTTAGCAACTGTTTAAGCTAATACTGAGAAAATAGAGTGAATGGTCTCTGTAGGCAAGCTTGGAGCACAATCAGAATGTGTGATTGCAACAGAAAAGCATATTGAAGCCCCATTCTTGTCAACTTAAGCACCACCTGCAGTGACAATGGCAAAACATGAGTGACAACACAGCCCAGGTACTTTTAAGAGTATGAGTGCCTAAATGGGAGAGCACTCTGCTCAAGCTCGTTCCCAATAGACCTCCTAGGTTTGGTTGTGTTTTAAATAAGCACATAAGAAATGCCCTGCTAAGACAGAAGTCTTTGGTGGCAATAGAAGATACTTCCTAGGAAAAGCATGCACACCCAGCTACTGCCTGTGGTCAGTTTGGTAAAATAATGGCTGCTGTCCAAAATTGGCTGGCTGAAATATATATAGTGTCCCAAACCCACAGCCTTCTGTGACTGCTCACTACCCATCAGATAAGGGGCACAGAAATCTATGCCTTCCATATCATCATCTTCCCAAAACTCAAGCTGGTATATGAGTCCATGCAAATGTTTCTATAATAGTGGTAGATATTTCCATCATGATTTTCTATCACATATTAGACATTAGGTGTCCTAACACTGCTCATTTTTGACTAATTGTCAAATCTTGGCACAATCCTGTGTCAGGCAAAGGACTGCAAAGAAGTAACAAGCACCTCTAAAAAGATGATTAAACCAATCTAGTATTGATACAGACAGAGCTATCCAACAAGCATTCCTCACACAACACTGACAACATTTTGAGTATTCATAAAGCCTATAAAGGAGAAATTGCAAGCTCTCTTTTCTGAACTGTTAGTAGGGTTTTATTTCACCTGTAATCCAACTATTGCCTCTTCAGAACCAAAGATTCCTTTAGCCATGACTGGTCCATATCTGTGTGCTCTGGATTCCCTTACCTTGAGTGAGCTAGAGCCTTACTAAGAGTCTTCAGCCCTTTTCCCATTTCTCTGAATGGGAAGAGCCTCTTCTCTGGTTCCAGTGGCTCAGACTGAAAGGAAAAAAATAGAAAATAAATATTATGGTATTAAGAAGAGCTTAGCATAGAGAATGTATGTGCAGTCTTGGGGTTCAGTGTTAATAACCAATTATTTCCTGAGCTGGTCATCAGCAGGGACAGCATTGTGTCATTCCACAAGCACGTAGACAAACCTTACTGCTGTGCATGCCTGCGTGCACATGTGTGCCAACAGCTTTCAACTCATTGGCAGACTTCAGGTTTGACAGAGATCTTTGCAGGCAGTTAAGCACCCGTGAGCTTCATTAAACTATGAGACAGGAAGAAGAGATTGTTCAATGGCCTGAACTTAAGGAGTGACTGCTGTGAGTGCTTATGCATTAACAAACTCCAAAAAGCATGCATGAGAGAGAAACCTTTTAGGAGTTCCAACCCAGAAAAGTTTTCAATCAGACTTAAAACAATGTGAATGACATTTGTAAAAAACAAAATAATATTAAAAGCTCCACAGACATAGCTGGTTTTGGAGCACAGAACATAATGGTTTTATTATTTTCTTACTTTCATTTTTTTAAAAATGTACAAACCAAGTCAGCAATTTTATGTAAGGGAATTAAAATCATCAACTGTACACTGTTCAAAATGCCTGGAACATTTTTTGTTCTGAGCAGCTATGGAACTGAAATACATGGGAGATGAAAGCTTGTATTTGTTGATGAACTTGTTCTGGCTTAGAAGAACCCTTGGGGTTTCCAGAGAACAGCTGCATCCATTTCATAGAATTATGATCTTGTGCTGTGCACAGGCAGTGGTTTTGCATGAGTTAGGTAATAAAATGTGCAGCTGACCTGTGGTCAATGTGCAAAAAGCACACGGCTAGACAGTTCTCCACTGGTGCAGAGACCCAGGGGCAGACTCAGGTATTCCTTGATGCACTTCCATGCATTTAACAACCTAGGGTGTCCAGAAAAATAAATTCCCAGTAAACAGAATAAAGAAGATTGTTTTTAATGCACCTGGGAAAGCATGCCATAGGATGTTGCAATCTCACTAGGCTCTGCAGAGAAAACCCTTGCCTGCTCAGGAGTGCCCACAACTCTTGTTTCAGATCTTTGTGCACATCCAAGTGTACCAGTTTTGACTGCTGAAACAAGTAGTGCTCTGTACAGACAATGGTTTCTGTATGGCTGGGCTGCACACTTCACCCTTCCTTAGTACATTTTTAACCTTCAGAGAACATTCTGGAAAGTGCAAACAAAGGAAAAACATTTTTATCCATTCATCTCATTAAAAAGAATAATTGTAAATGAAAACTGAAAAGAGAAAAATGCTAAATGAATAAATTGGTTGGAATGTTTCTGGTATTCAGAATGCTTCTGCCAGTGAAACAGCTGATAGAGCTGCACCTTCTAAGCAGGACTTTCACAGCACATCTTACTTTCCAGCTTCATTAGCTTCCAACAAATCCAACTGATCTGAATTAGATAAAAAAGGAAATTAAATATTGTGACGTGTTAGGTGAGATATTACGGGGTGCTGAAAAGCCAGGTTAACACTTGTGCTTTCTTTCTTAAAGAAAAACTAAAAAAGCAATTTAAAAATCTGTTAGTATTAGTTGTCAGTTTTCATACGATTGCAAATGTACCATCCATTTTCTTTTGTTTACATTTAATTCTTCTATTTTATAAAAATAATATGATCAGATCAGCTGCATGGCACTCAATTTTGTTCTAAAGAGAAAGGAGATGAATTAGTTTTTAAATAAGCTAAGAAAGATAACGTTAAGATGAAAAATTAAGTCTTTTTGCTGGGTAGTCAAATAAAATTGAGGTAAATTGTTAAATGCACACAGGGAAATTAAAATGTCCTTAAATCCCAACATTTTAGCTATATTTACAAGGTGTGAATTGGCTTGGGATAGAGAGCTACAGACCACACTAACTCTGCATTGTTGTACCGCCGGCCTAAGTGCACATCACATACAACAGACACTTGGGTGGACTTGGTTGAATTAGAGCAGACTCACCACAGGAACTGTTCTGTGCTGATCAAAAAGTGGCATTTAAGTAAAATTATCTCTAGGCCTTTCAATATTTAAAATTGTAGGTTAAGGTCACACCAGGCAAAGGCTAAAAAAACAGGTCTAGGGTAGATCTTCAACAGCTTTTAATTGATGTAGCTCTACATAACACCCAAAGGAACAGCCCTTTCAGCTTCACCTTTTTCATTATGCAATATTGGTCTATATACTTCCATTAAAAAATGAACTTTTGAAATAAAAAGTAATTCTGAGTGTATTTGCCATCTCTGTGCTAAACCAATATAGTTTAAACGTCATTCTTCTAAACTTGATGTATGGAATAGTTAACAGCTAAACCTAACTTTCAGAACACTTTTTACCAATTTACAATAGAACTCTACATCTCACTCAATGATTTTTTTTCTGATACCTTCAGGGGGAGTTTTCCTAGATAATACCTATGAAAAATTCACTAGTCAGCAAAAAGCTGGTTCCTTATGACAGTAAGGCTTTAAACCTTGAAATCAGCAAACAGATCTATATGAATAATTAAAACATGATGTTTTTCTGTTGCTTTCTTTAATTCCATCTTGAATCAAAGCTTCACCAGCAGTCTCACCTCTGGATTAAATGAGTTCTTGCTGGTAGTGACCTCAGCCACTTCTTCGGGTGGTTTTTCCTGTGCATGTTTTTTCACTGGTTCCTAAGAAAAGAACAAATCCATGTAACTATATTTGAAATACTGCTAGTTACCCATACTGTAGGAGGTAATAATTTTCAAAATTAAGTAGTGCAAAGAAATTTTTAAACAGAGATTCAAACTAAAGCAAAAATAATGGCAGTCTATGGCAGAAAACCTTAAAATGTCACTAAGTAACTGCTGCACAAATAGATTCTCATAGGAAGTACCTGCTGACAAGCTGCTGTGCAAAATGCAGACATGCTTCCTAAATTACTACACTTAAATGCTTAGAAAATGTACCTTCTCTCTTGGAAGACTTCTATGTAGACTACTGTGTCTAACATAAAAAGAAAATCCAATTTCCAAAACCAGGAATAGGAAATTACCTCCCTGTAACTGCTCTTGCCTCAAGATACACACTGTGATAGACCACTGTTCTTGGGTCTGTGCTTTCACCCACAAGGAAGACACAGACTCCTAAAACCCTGAAGTCAAACACCAGCACACTTTTAGAACTCTTTCAACCATCACTTTATTCAACTGGAAGACATTATTCCCTCCTATTAAAAAAAAAAAAAAAATTGTATAGGTAGATTAATAAAAGACTTTAGATCACTCAGTGTATGGTGCTCAGGCTAAAAGGATGTGAAAACCCTAATTCCTTTCTGCACTAGTTTTAGATCAAAGAGCTCATTTATTGCTTCCAAGCAAAGCAAAACTTTGCAAGCCCTAGCAAGACACATCCATGTAGTCAGGGCAGAGTCAATGTACAAAAAACACTGCACAGCAGACCCAGAGCTGCAGGTGAAATACTTTCTATGCTGCATAGCTTTTGTACAACAGAGCAAAGCCTAGAAATATTAAAAGATTTTTTAAAAAATTCAGAGCAAAGCATTTTGCTTGTTGGAATCTTCACTTGAGAAGGCAGAGAATTCTTTCCATATTTACATTCCTATGTAATATTTCAGCAGAACTGGTATCTTCACTCCCTGGAGAACTGCAAACACCACTCTTCTAATGCAGTGGTGGAGGTGGCCCACAAACAAGTAGAAAACTAGGCAGGGAAAGCAAATCCAAAGGCAGAAGTGGTTCTAAGAGCAGAGTAGCTGGAATGGAAGGAAGATTTTCTACAGCCAGAGTATAACAATGAACTAATGAAATGTCGAAGAGAAGTCTGAAGGCTCCAGTGTTTGATGTAATTGGTGTGCTCTTGACCAAGACTGTCAGCAGCAGAGACAGCCGACAAATTGACCCTGCCCAGGAGCACAAGTCTTCCAGAGGGCTAGCAGTGAACCTGAGAGCCTGCCCCAGGTACTGAGGAAACCTCAGTCATGCCCTGAACAGGAGAGGAGCTGTATGTACCTGCAGGAGATGCCAATCAGAGGAGATTGCTGGGGATGAGCATGCATTCAGCATGGGCAGTCTGTTACACTGAACATTACAGAAGATAATTTGCCATTATAGGAATTTAATCAGTGTTTGGTTGTTCTTTTTCTTTCTTTTTGTTGTTGTTGTTGTTGTTGTTTTTTTCCTCCCAGAGATAAAGGTTATTTACTTTAACCACAGCAGATTCTCAATACTAAATATCTTCCTCTGTGAAAACAGGTTTTCAAAAGTAGACTGGATTTTAAAAACGAGTTGCCAAACAAAATCCTTTTAAAAAAAACCAAACCAATCCATTTTCAGCATGTGAAGTCTGAAATATTTGTAGCTACATTCCTGTATATTCACAAACACAAGTGATCTATCTAGAACATAAGTAATGCTCAACCACAAATGATTATCTGTTTCCTTTGATTTACCCTTTTAGATTTCAGAGTACTCTCAAAGGTAGCAAGGTGCCAGATGGATGGAACAGATGACTTTGCAGGTGAAACACCTTCAGAGAAGCTGATTCAGAAGCAGTTTGGTTTTAAAATTGGAAAGGTTTTCATATTTTGGGCAATATTTAACTCATATTAGGGCACATGTTTTTCAGAGTACAATGAAAAGTCCCAGAAATTCTATGTATTTGGACATCTTGCAGCCTGCTTTCTCCTTTTCTGTTACTCTTTCCATAAGACTATCTTCTCTGTGTTGTGTGGCTGTTTGTAGTTTTCCCACCATCTCTGCTACAGGAACAGAGGGACAGCATGCAGCAGACTGACACTAGTGTGACTCTTCTGGTTTTAATTTCACACGTTATCAGTATTGGAAGATAAATCTAGAAGAAATCTGATATGGACTTGGAGCAGAAGCACCTTACATGCCAGGAACAGCAAAACTTCCAGTCAGCTTTGCTCCTGACACTGGGATTTTAAATTTCATTTTTCAAAAGCAACCCAGTGCTGACAACAGCCAGGTGCCACTGCTTTTACAGCTGGCCATCCTTGGATGACATGGCATTGAGTGTCTCTCAGAATAACTTGCTACTCAAGGGAAGGAAGAGTAGTGGAGCGTAGCCCTAAGGTTTCAATGGCTTGAAAGCACCACTAAAAAGCACCACTTGGAAAACACCACTGGTACAGGGTCTGGTGCCATTTAGTTATATTCAAGTGTGCAGTTTTCTCAGGTGCAACATTTCCCTGCATCCTACCCATGGCCAGCCTGCTCTGCCAGTTCATGAGGAAAGGAGAAAGAGCTGTGAACCTACCTAACCCTGGCACAGTTGCTCCAGGAGAGAGCTATCACACACCCCCCCACCTCCACCCAGGCACTGATAATGTGATCCAATCAGCCTTATCACAGAAAACAGAAGGCAATAGCTGCCTTTTCTGTAACATTATCTTCCATTACAATGTCATGTTCTGAAAAGGTGTAAGCTGAGCTTCAAACAGTAACAGTGGATAATCACAGAACAATAGAACACTTTTTAATTTGCAGTGCAGACATAAAAAAAAGAAAAAATAATACTGCTGTATCGAATTTGTTAAACTCCACAATATGTTATCATGACAATCTGAACAATCTTTGGAGTTTTGGTGATGAAGTTGTTTTTTTGTTTTTAGTGTTTCCATCTTATGAAGACTTTCATCATCTAATTTGCTTTTAAGCCATCAAAAAGCCCGTTTCAGTGATCATTTCCTGCTTTCATTATAGTGAAGTAACAAAATCCTATACAACTCCATATGTAAGAAAAAATAATTAAAAAAAAATCAAAGTAATATATGAAACATAATCCTAAATTGAGATTACATGAGGAAATGACCCAAAAGTTTTCCATGAAAATGATTATGGCAATTTTTTGTGAGTTTACCTCCAGCAGCTCTAGGTGAAATGAACTGCAGCAGGACTGCAGTAGGTGGAGCTCGATGCCATCTGATTGTCTACAGCTCCACTCCCGTGGACCCCTCTGAGGGCTACCACAGGTGGCTAGCGGCGAGCAGGAAGCCCCGGCACTCCTGCCCTGGGCAGATCTCCGTGTGCTCTCTTCATCCTTAGGAAGAAAGCTGAAGGCTCTGAAAGTGTTTTTGACTTAACAAATCCTTTGGAATAACTTGTTTCAGTTGAAAAGTACTGCCTGCAGGCTCCAGATTTCATCTGAACAATTCCCAAATACTTCCACTTTCTCTTTTGACTAATTCTGGAGATTAAAAATTGTTCAACTCTGACAAATCCCTCCTTGCACGAAACACTGTCTCCATTCCACACACTCATCATCTTTGCAGATGTCATTCTATAAGTTTTGAGAATTTCCAACTTTCTTCTGCAAATCTTTCTGTGGAATTAGCCTGAGTTGGTGTCTACACCAGCTATGGATGGAGAATTGGGGTACAATAAAGGTGCTTTTAGGTTGCATTTATTTATTTATTTATTTATTTATTTATTTATTTTAAAGTTGGTGAAATAATCTCTTTCCTTTGCAACTCCTGAAGCTTTTTCTGGGTAGCTCATTAAATTTATATGTTATTGTCTAAAGTAGCAGATTGACACACCTATTGCACTCGCCTGCCTTCTCATATATCACTAGAGCAGGACTGTTATGATTACATTTGCAAACTGTGAATGTGTTTTGAAGAAAATACATCACCACAGCCTCATCACAAGCCAACATTTAGTCATCCAAATGCAAGATCAGCCTGGTGAAATATATTTTTTAATTTTACAAAACGGTTTAGAAAGCTTTTGCAGAGAGCTACATATAGAGATGACTGCTGCTGTTCTGCAGCTGGGATTCTAAATGTTGGATTTTAAAGGTAGTATTCTAGCCAGGTACTCAGGATTTTTTTTTCCTATTTCTTCTTTTACTGCTGCTCAATACTGACCCTTTCTGCCCTTTCACTAGAATGTGGAAACATGGAACAGACATCAGGACCAGAAGAAAATTTTCAATTAAACACCAGAGGCTTCAAGACAAAAGACTTCACTAGGAATATACTGCAGAAGATTAAGATTTCTTTAAGAGAGATGCTATTTTAGTGCTTCAGCTTAAAAAAAAAATTGCTACAACTAAATTTGAAGATATATCTCAGCATCAAAGATGAGATGCCTGATTTGTTAAGGTTGTGCTGTACCATATCAATAATGCAAAGCACTTTCTGTTGCCAAGGGAAGCACTTGATGAGAGCTATTGCAGCAGCTTCCATTCTTGGTCTCTGGTCAGAAACAGCCCTGGTATCGACAGAAAGGGGCACTCAGCCCATTGTTTTACCAGGGTAGGTTTAATGAGCCAGGGAGTTCCAGTCCTGTTAGGTCTGCCCCTGCACTCCAATGAACACGTTATTGTCAATACAGACCTATCAGGAAAATGAAAGGAGACAGCTGAAAGGTTGTCTGCTAGTAAAGGCATGAGAATAAGATTTGCAATAAGTAGATTCAGTTTCACCTCTGTCAAAAAATTTCCTCTGACACCCTAAATAAAACATTTAACACCTTATCCCAGTTAGCAGAAGCCTTTATTTTTTCACTACAATGAATTTTAGTACAAACTCCACAGCTCATTGTGCCTCCTCTCCTTTATGTCTGAAATGGGGAAAAATAACACTCCTCTTTCATTAAATCTGTGAAATATTCAGATATTATAGTGACAGAAAACCTACATA